AGAATGGCGTGCCTTATAAAGACAAATATTCATCCCAGACTAAATAATGGGGGACCCTACAGATTTTTGGATGACGGCTCCATACACCCCGACCATTAGCCAGGTGGGTGTAACTGACACGCTTAAGGGTCCAACCCAAGGATCGTCTGGCATTTCTGGGGAAGTCACAGGACCTTTCAGTCCTCCTCTGCTTGGACTCCGAAGGCTGAGACCCTGGCCCTCCTCTGAGTCTGGATCCTGCAAATGTCTGACGCCAGGGTGACGGGACTGCATCCTAAGCAGAGCCTAGATCCACACTGGACCTTCGATCGGAGATTTGGCTTTTACCCTGCCTTTCCTCCCGAGAAGTTCTGGTGAGGTGTAGCTGACAAGGGCTGAAGTCGGAGACACGGAGGGATGCCTGCAGTCGCGTGCTGGAAGCGGTTTTGCTGGACTTCGGCCCCAGGGATTGCTCTCCTTATTTTGGGGCTGGGGTCTGAGCGATTACTGGCTTAATGGCCTGAATGATCTCATAATTGATATGGAAATAGGCCCAGACTCAGTTGCTTGTAGTGCAAATCCCAGACTACGCTCAGGACTCTTTGCCCAGATGTTATTCAAATTTGCTTCCTTCCCCCGCCCGCCTCTTTGTGGGGCGCATGCTCCCCGTCTGTGAGCAAGGCCATCTGAAGCTTACGAAGAGCATTAGGCAGTTTCATTTGAGGTGAAGCGGCTCCAGACGCGTGTTCTGAAGGACGCACGTCATGGGTTTGCCAGAGCAACTTGCCCCGTGGGGGCCCCAGGAGCTGCCAAAATAAAAAGCCAGGCAGAAGATGTTGCGACATCACAGGGGTCAACAGGTTTGCTATTCGCCTCCCCTCTCTTTGGGAAATAGGGGCACTGGAGTCCTCTGCCAGGGCCAACTTGCCCTGTCCGTTTTCCTCTGGGGAGGCCACAGCAATGCCTGGCGGGTGGCTTTGCATGGCACATTGTGGCTTCGAAGTCCTGGTGGCTTCACCTGCTGTCCAAAGCCAGTGCTCCCCACTTGCAGGGCGGCCTCTTCGCCCCTCATGAGCCCATCCCATCAAGCCATGGCTTGTCGGAGGGGTTTTGTAGTCATTCTTGAGCTTGCTGTGTGTCACGACCCGAAGGAGCTTCAGTGCTCCCTCTGCTGGCCAAGAGCTGGTGGAGCAGCTCTGGTGGTTGCAGGGTTCTGTCCTCGGGCCACTGCAGCTGCCAGGGCTCTCAGGAGTTCCACCTGGGGAAGAGATATATAAGAACCAGCTCTTCCCCACAGAAGCTGCCTTGGCAACAAGGTCTCCTCTTGTGGGTGAAGCCCTTCCTGGTCTGCCGGACTCGGAACGCAGCTCCTGCCTGCACCTCTTCCCTCTCTGACTGGTTTGCCTCTCTCGGCTCTCCGACCTTTGGGTCGTCCTGGACTACAGTACCTGTCTCTATGGACTTGGTTGGTATATTGGCTCTTGGCTTGACTTTGGACTGTGCTTTGGACTTGTTTCACCCTGTCTGCCTGGGTCCCTGCGCCTTTACTCTGCCGGTCGGCCGCTCTCGCCCTGGACACTGACACTGTATTGCCTGAACTCAGATGGGGCAACAGGCTGGGGGGGCCGCATCCTTCACAGCTGCTTGGCCAGAGCTGCAAGAAGGCTTGTGGCTCCAGAGTGAGAGGATGGCAGCCCTCCAGCGTGCCCAAGGGGCAGGATGGGGAGCTGTCCTCGGCTTCTCGGGTTTTGCCGGAGCTCTCATGAGTTCCACCTGGGGAAGAGATATATACGAACCAGCTCTTCTCCTCAGAAGCTGCCTTGGCAACAAGGTCTCCTCTTGTGGGTGAAGCCCTTCCTGGTCTGCCAGACTTGGAACATGGCTCCTTGTCCTGCCTGAGACGATGGCAGCCCCCCAGCGTGCCCAAGGGGCAGGATGGGGCGCTGTCCTCGGCTTCTCGGGTTTTGCCATGCACTGCTGCCTTGTGCCTGTTTGGAGCTTGAGGAGGGGTCGCTGCCCGCTCTCAGTCCCACTTCTAAGGACGCCTTATCAGCAGGACTGGTTTGTTGCACTGAAGACTGTGGGTCGCTCAATATGGTTTGCTATCTTGGTGGGATTCAATTCAACATGGTCGACTGTTCTGTGGCTAGAGCCAGAAGTGTGGCTTCTAGTTCGAGAGAGGTATTACTACCACTCTATACAACTGTGGTGCACCTGCAGCTGGAGTATTTTGTTCATTTCTGGACTCCACATTACAGGAAGGATATAACCAGGTTGGAATCAATGCAGCGAAGGGCCACAAGGCTGGTGGCTGGATTGCAGGGAAAGCCATATGAGGTGAGACTGAGGGAACTGGGTCTCTTCAGCCTGGAGGAGACTCGGAGGGGATCTGTTGGCGACATACAGGTATGTGAAGGTTGTCACACGGAGATGGGTAGAGACCTGTTCTCCCCTGCAGAGGAAGGCAGAACGTGCTCCAATGGAGCAAAGCTCAGGGAACCAAGGTTCAATTTGGATGCCAGGAAGCACTTCCTGACAGTTAGGACCCCAAGGGTGTGGAATGGGCATCCATGGGAGGTTGTTGAGGCCCCATCAGTGAGGGTGTTCAAGGACAGGCTGGACATGCACATGGTGGGCATGTCATGAGCTGAGTTGGCTGGAGCCGGAGGTCAGACTAGATGGCCCGGGAGACCCCTTCTGACTCACTCTGTTTTTATGTTTCTATATTTTAGCAACAACAACAACGGGGCCACTGAGAAACCAGATGGTGGTTATGGGCACAGGGGATCTTTAATGTTTGCAGAAGGACAAGCGTATTCACTTAATTTCAACAGCATCACCTGACCTCAGGTGCTCCCAGGTGAGGCTTTTACAATCACATTAGGGGATGTACATAAATCCATTCTGTCTGTGTTTTACAGATTATCGGGCAGCTTCTGTTTTCTCACATTGACAGTATCGCATTGTTAAGAGATGCACAAGCGGAATGGCTTTCTTGTGCAAGTGCAGATTTGCCCAAATCACTTCCCCCAGTTTTTTTAAACCCCGGTGCACTGTAAGCCATCCCGAGACTGTTGCAGACAGTCGGTATATAAAGCTATAAATAGAATAAATAAAGACACACAACCCCAGAATCCACTTGACTGATTTGGAGGAAAAAATGTTTCACAGGTCAGAATCATAGAAATCCTTTCTCATTTGACTCCATTGCGGATTTCTTAGGTGACACCCCATATGTAAAACCACTTTTTAAAGCCGTTGCCTTCACTGTAGATGTGATCACCCAGAAGTTTTCTGCCACTGCTTTTTATTGCTTTTGACAGAAGGCAGTTTGAAAATTATATTTATAGTTGGAGAACTGGCTGTTCACAGATCTGTACAGCTTATTTTAACACTGACCTGCTTATCAGGCAATAACGGAGCTATTGAGCCTTCAAATTGCTGAGCGCAGTGAAAGGGGGGAGAATGGAAGGAAACGCTTTGCTATTTCATTTCCTTTTGCTTTCGCAAGATCAAGGGGGCTTTGTATCTTGGGAATTACAGCACAGAAATATCCCTTCTTAGTTACAGATCCATGCACAGAATTAGCCTGTGCATCACATTTGGCGACAGACAGACCCCACCCGGACACATTCAGACAACCCCCCACCCTGCGGCAACACTGTGGGGGGGGGGGAGGAAAATACAGAATACCTTATTATGCGCTGGAACCTTTTTTCTGCCTGAGCAGGTATGCTGTTGAAGACAAGGTGGGTGCGCATGATGGGGAACCAAAACAAGCTTTAGTGTCTTATTTTCCTGCTTCATGCATGCTGCTGGCACACTGCTGAATTGTCCTCACTGGGTGCAGCTTACCTTGTCATTCAGATCCCATGAGGGTAGGCCGCAGTGGCCGTCTGCAAACCACCCACGACCCCAGCACAAGCCATGGGCTCCCAGGTGGCTTAGGAACCCATTGGCTGTCCATCTTCACCAGGGTCTAATGGCAACTGACTGTGTCCAGTGAGGTCCTTTTGGGAATTCGGCAGTGTGCAGTGGAAAAGCTTGGTTTTTTTCCCTTCCTCAGAGGTGGAAATCAGTTCTGTTATGTCTGTGGCTCAGTTTTTTTTATTTATTCTTTATGTAGGGTGTTTCTATGCTAATCCATAGCTGAGATTCTCCAGAGGGCATACTTTAAAAACAAAAATACCAATGCAAGCAGAAAGAGAAAATGGAATTGCGATCTAAAAGCTGCATAGCGAAGAAAGATAGGTCTTCATTTAGACTTTAAGGAAAGCAAGAAAGAGGTCTTGAAATTTTAAAAGTATGTGTGTGGAGTACTTCGTTCAACGTATTCCATATAGGGTCAGGTTATCTGGAAAGTCCAAAGGTCTGGGAACTCAGCGGGCAAGATTTTCCCCAGAGGTGTGAGTTCTTGCAGCTCTGGGCCAATTAGATTTCCTGCGTTGTAATTTATGCTTATCCCATTTTATTTAATATTATATTTATAGCCTGCCTTTTTTCCTTTCAAGGAACTTATTAAATCATTCTCCTCCTCCCTGTTCTCAATATTACCCTCACCACAACAACCCTGTGAGGTAGGTTGGGCTGAGAGTCTGTGACTGGCCCAAAGTCTCCCAGTTGGCTCCATGGCTGAGCGGGGACTAGGACCCAGATCGTCTGAGTCCCAGTTCCACCCTCTTCACCACCCCACCACCCTGGCTCTCGGGGTTTTCAAATAAGACGGCCAGTGTTTCAACCAGGATATTTTCAAATAGGCCGCCCAATGTTTTGCTCACCATCTTCACATAATTAATAGGCACACTCATTATGTTTCGGGGACACCTCTGGGACACGGTAGACTCTATACCCATTCAGGGCAAGAGAGCACACAGGGCACCAACAAGCTTACTGGAGCTTGGATCCTGCTTTCAACCTTTTCCCTAACACCGTGCAAACCTAGCAGGACTTCCTTCTTTCGTCAGATTGAAATAGAGAAGTCGGCTGATATATGCAAAGTGAAACTCAGTCCTCTTGTTATTTTGAGAGTTCCGACGCAGAGCAGCTGCCATGAAATTCTAGACTCCGCCGTAGTAAAAATGCTTTCAAGAATACTACCACCAGGTCAGTATTTTGGGTCTTGACTTAATGGGGAGTTAAGTAGGGATGTTCTTCTCATTTGTGACAGTCCATTTTTCTGTTGGATCACTCGATAGCAGTCTGTAGGAAAGAATATTTTCCTCTCCTAACACGCTTGCTGTGCACCAGCCTCTTGGACAGCTTCCCCCCAAAACCACAAAGAACTTGGGCACCCTTCTCCACCTCCCTTTATTCCTTTTCCAGTGGATGCTGCAAATTTTGTGGCTACTGGGCTCAGCCTGCCTTCAGTGGGATTTGGAAGAGCCTCTTCGGGTAGCGTTTGCATGCCCACAACCTTGTAGACTGTAAGCCTCAGAGAAACAGCTATTTCTGCCGGAGGGATTGTCCAACTTTCTAGCTGGAACGCTCCAAGCTCCTGTGGCCACCCAGCACTGCCTGATGGTCACGCAGCTACTCTATTTTGCTTTGGCCTGTTTTCGGCACTTCTGCAAAACATGTAGATGCCCTGACCGCCTGGAATGCTGTCCCCATTTTAGTTCCATTTCTGCCCGCGTTCAGCCCTGGCGTTCGCTGTTAGAAGGACCGTTGTCACATCCACGGAATCTGTCAGTTAGGTGACAGTGGTGCGCGTTTGAATTGGACACCTGCTGGAACTGGGGAAGGAAATGTCAACACAAGCAGCCGAGGGACTGTGTCATTTGGGGGAGAGAGAGAGAGAGAAGTAGAGAGAGCGAGGCTGAGCCATTAGGCGAGGGCCCTTTCGGGGGATCTACATGCGAATCTGCATCTCCTGTGAGTGCCGGCTTTTGCCGCCATTTATGCTCTGGTTGCACATTCACACATGCTATGTGCTGACAGCAAAATCGTTTCTCCAGCCTTAGGACTTGATGCACGCCAAACAGCACAAGAGGAAGGCGAGGGCAGGTTCTGCAGAAGTTTCAAGGATTGCAAAAGCACGCAGACTTCCTAGGGGAAAAAACCCCCATGGGTGTGGGGAGTTCCCAAAATTGCCCAGTGAGGGACGGAGCATGCTCGGTGTCTGCAGAACGGTGCTGAGTGTGGAGGAGGAAAGACAGAGTGGAGGGGAAAGGTCCGTGTAATGGAGTGTCGCAGCCGGTTGGAGCCCTGAGCAGAAGCAGTCCATGCTGCAACTTTTTGGTGCAGTTCCTGGTAAAGATGATTGTATAGAGACTACCTATGCTTCCCATATATGCTGTCCAGAGGACACCAGGCCTGGATCTGTGTGGGGTTCCCCATCTTTTCCTGCACCCCCATTTGGAATCTCCGTGGCAGAGAATCAAGCCATGTTGTGTCAAGGATGGAGGGCACCCCCCCCCCCCAGTAGCTGTGATTTATTTTCCTCCATAGGAGGGAATGGCTGCCACTCACTCACACAGAGGAAGGTTAAGAGGTGCAGAACTGGGGTGCTCCAGGTGTCCCTCCCATTTCTGCAACCTGGCTTTGCTCCATAGCACGAAAGGTGTTGATGGCCACTTGGGGAGAAGGCTTTCAAGGCCTCCCCAAGCACGCCCTTCAGAGATGGCTTGGGGGACAGTGGCGTCCCCCAGCTGTGGAAACCCCTTCCCAAGGAGGTCCATCTGGCCCCGGCATTGCCATTTTTTCCGTATCGGTGTCTGCGGAGGGAAACATAAGGAGAAGGCAAGAATTGTTCCCAAGCAAAGAGACCATCTCCTCCTTCCCACCTCTTTCAAGTTGAGCTCCTTGGGAGAGGCCTTTTCGACGGCTGCCCACTTTTGCAAGTCCACGGTTTGCACCAACTCTTCCGGTTGGCGTGCAACTTATAACGATCACATCTCACCTAAAGCAGCTCTCAGGGTACAGGGATTGTGGCTTCCAGCTATTTCAGGATCGTGGTTTCCTGTTTTGCTGTACGTCAGCATAAAGGTGTCTCTTTCTCTTTCACACCATAGGGGAGTTTTATAACAGATGCCACACCTAGAAGAGCTGAGTGCCCCCATTCAGCCTTTCTGATGAGCAGCCTTCCCTGAAGGTCCATTTCTCTTGGTTCGGCTCTCTCCAGATGAATTACATTGCAGTTCTTTAACATGCTGCCTGCCATGCTGGGAGTTGGAGTCCAACTCATCTGGAGAGCACCAGCTTGGGGAAGGATGCTATTATATTGGGGAGCAGATGTTCTTGTCCATTTTGACTGAGCCAATTAAAAGGTGGGTTTGGAAGGAGGCCTTCTGCTGGTGCATGTCAGTGGCGGGAGGCGGATGAGATCAGAAAAGGAGGTGGATGATTGTCCAGACGTGATGGTGCTCAGCTTATTACTGGGTCACGTATATTGGTGGAAGGGGCAAAAGCTATGAGATGACAACCTTGGGCTATTTCACTCACCAGAGTGTTCCTGGGGTGTTGCTGCTTATCAGAGCGTCATTTTAATAGCTAGTGGATGGATCCACAATGGATCAAAATGGGATTTTCCCAGCACAGAAGCAAGCGAGACTGAAACTTCTAAAACTCAGAACTGAACTCTTCGGTTCAGGAAGTAAGATGTGGATTGTGGTTTCCCATTGGCAGACCAGAGGCTAAGAATTTAATGATGGTGGGGGGTGGGGGGATTCCTCTTTCTTGAGGTGCTGGTTGGGGGACTGCAATACCTGATGGGAAGTCTGAAGCCGGAAGTGGCACTCCAAGAGCACCAATCAAGATCTGGGACCCCTCCAGCTGCCACCTTCAAAGGACGGGTCAGTGGGTGGCAACGAAGGGCAGGGCCTCTTCAGTAGCAGCCCCCGAGCAGTGGGACCAGTTCAGCACTGAGGCCCACCTGGCACTAACTTTGGTAGCTTTTGGGCACCAGGTTAAGACTGATCTATGACAGGGCATTTAATTCATTTTATATTTTATTGGGCATTATGACAGCTGCTGCCTTGTGACTGGTCTTGTGACTTAATTTTTGGAAGGCATGGCAGCTTTTAAAACTGGGTTTTAAATTTGACATCTTAATTCTGTATTGTGTGCTTAGGTAATTTTTATTTTTACATTATTTTACATGTTGTACTGTATTAGTACTGTTTTTCCGTCTGCTGTTGTGAACCACCCAGAGACCTTCAGCTACTGGGTAGTGTAGAAATAGAATTAGTAAATAAATAATAACATTATCATCATCACTGCCATCATTGTCATTATTATTAATAATAGTAGCATTATTACTTTTTAATTTTATGTTTCAATAATATCAAAAACATCATTGATATGTTATTAATATTTGATAATGGTAATAAAATAATGTATTAATGATTAATAATAGTGATGCTTCCTCTTTCTGAACACTAAGTCGAATCTCGTTGTCTCACATTCCATCTGATGAAGCTGATGCATTGCATATCTCTTTTTTCTCCAAAGGCCTTTCCAAGGCGTTCGCACAGGGCATGGGGAAGCATGGACACACGAACCCCTAGCTTTCCGACGGGTGTGCCATGGAGGGAGGCCAGGGCGCTCCAGCAGCAGGCAACCTGCCAGAAGGACAGGCAGCAACGGCTGGGTCAGGGGCAGCTGCCCTTGCAGCTGAAAAAGAGGGCTGCAGAAACACCCCTTCACCTCAAGAAAACCAGGAACTGGCAGAGCCTGCCGATTCCTCAGGTAAGGTCTAGTTAGGTGATTCTGTTACTCCCAGTGCTTTTTTTGCCAAAAAAAAAAAAAAAAAGGTGGTGGAACGCACATCGCCACCGGCAGTAAGCACACACACCAATCCCAAGCCGAGCAGCGGAGCAGCGTCCCAAGCAGCTCTCTCTCACTATCAGATAGCAGATCCCAGACACAATAGCAGCCTGCAGGCACTATGTTAATGATGTTTGCTCCTGATCTGCTACACCAAAATCACTTCGTAAAATCCATTGGAAAAAAGGTGCCGGAACACCGTTCCGGTGCGTTCTATGACAAAAAAAGCCCTGGTTACTCCTCTTGCTCGGCACAAGAAAATGACTGCAGCTCTGCAGCTACCTCAGGTGTAGCTAACTAACATTGTTTTCTGGGCTTTGTTCTTGTTTTGTTTTGTAAGCTTCACAACTGCTTCTGCAGAGCAAAAGCAAAATTTGTTTTAAAAAGTTTTTTTTCCCGTATCTTCAGCTCCTTAACTCATAGCTCCATCACGGCTGCATAAATAAAACGGGGCTTGCTTCCGTTGCCCCACATCACCCGCTGGCTCTGGGTCGTCCTTGGGAGATCCTGGACTTTGCCCCGAGCTCTGGTCCTAGGTGTGCCTCTGGCCAGCCATCGAGGGAAATGGTTTTGAGATGCAGCGATGAGCAAACATTGTCCATTTCATTATGTCCCTGTAGGTGAGCAAGACACCCCAAATCTCAACTCTTCCATGACAACTAAGGAACTTCAGGAATATTGGAGGAAGGAGAAACGCAACTGTCGAGAAGTCAAAGTCGTTTTCGAAATCCCATCGGCTGTAATTGTCGAGAAACCCTTCTCTAAATATGTGGTAAGCTCATGCTGGAATGCCAGCTGGTGTTAGGAGGGTCCCGAATTATTCAATCCCCCCATCCATTTTTGGAAGAAACATAGGTAGCATTATATCTGGAAGAAAAGGTTGCATTAGCCATGGTTTCTCCAAACACAGAGCTCCCAACCATGGTTAGAAGCAAGATTTGCATTGTGGTTTGAATTTCTTATCACTCTCATCACATCGACATTAATAATTTTGTTATTCCAAATGTGTTTATTTATTTATTTAGAGTATTTGTATGCCGTCCTTTTGCAGAGCCTCAGGACGGCTTACATAAATAAGAAGAATAAAACAAAACATAATACAAATAAAATCCAGATCCACCCTGGCTGCAGATTAAAACCTATATAGCTCATGTTAAAAGTTATTAAAATATTGTTGAAATAAAAAGGTCTTAGCCTGGCACCGAAAAACAAATAACGACTGCCCTAACAAGTTGGGGAATGCTGATCGGAGACTTAGAATGCTTCTTTTGGCCAGGTAGGAAATGATTTGTCAGCCTGGTTTCTACTGTCAGTTCCAGCTTTCCCAGTCTGAAGCCTTTCAGGAATTTTGGACCCACGATCATCAGTCCTAGCCAGGATGGCTAGTAGTCAGGAATAGATTGGGTTGTAGTCCAGCAGTTTCCAGTGGATGCCAGGTGGGAGAGGGCTGCGCCATTCCTGGCAATGGCTTTTCATGGCTTCAGGCCCTTCCTACCACCTGCCACCATCTAGGGATTCTTGAGGGATTAGACAAGTGCAAGTTTTGATGCACATGGATTGTATTCTCCCCGACCACAAACCTATGTGCATCATCTGAGGTTTTCTTCCAGGTGCCTTGTCTGAGGGCGGCTTGGAAGGTGCCAATGGGGTCTTCTCAGTGGTGTCCCCCCCGCCCCAATTTTGGAATGCTTTCCTTGATGAGGTCCACTTGGTACCAACATCGTTATCTTTGGGGCACCAGATTAAGAGCTTCATCTCTCGGGCATCTGGCAGTTTAAGATGAGGTTTTTAAAACAGGTCTTGAAGTTTTCCTTGTTGATTAAATGTATCCTTCAGATGAATGCATCCTCATCGTGATGATTGTATGTTTGCATGTATATGGTTCTATAACGTATTTTATGGTTTTAACTTTTGTGCACCTCCCAAAGGGCTGAGTTTTTAGGCAGTATAGAAATGAAATGAAAATGATATGATAAATCCTGGCCTAAAGTACAGATAAGAATGGAATTATTAGATATAGTTTTTGCTCAGAACACATGCCACTGTATACTTTAGAACAAACATGTTTAGAAATGCCTAGATCTAGATAAAATAAATTTATGCATGTGTATTCTTGATAAAATACACATTGACATGCATATTTAAGTAGCATCTTTATCTGAATTTAGGGACAGTTTTTTAAAAATTGCATATTCATACAGGATGGGATCAAATAGATTTATATATGAACACACAAAATGTTGTTTCATTAATTACATTATCTTCCCAACAGCTGAAGCTCTCGACAGTTTTAAAAATGGTAAAATTTATATACAAGCAAATATATAAACACACAACATGCAGAGAGCAACGCATAGATCCACAATATTGAACTTGAGAAGAAATTCAAGGCCTGATTCAGACCTTGTTGTATTCCGCCCAGTGCTTGAGGGAAGAAGATCTTAATTTGGTGCAAAAAATATAATGGTAGAGCTAGGTGGGCCATGTGGGAGAGATCACTGGCATGGACCACAAGTGGCATGGACCACAAGTAATCTTCCTATCCATTTTCTGACCCTTTCTTGTTGATGTTTTTATGGGGAGATGTGGGGGATCGAACGTGGAACCTTCTACTTGCAAAGGAGAAATTGTTCCTTCAAGTTTGGCCCACAATCTTGTCAGACTTTAGTCTGTGCAAAAACTGAGTCTTGCATAAAAAATGTTCCTGAAATTTTGTGTGCATCTCTCTCTGCTAGAAGTACCAAATTCTCATCGTCCAGACGGGAAGCTTTGATAGCAATCGATCCATGATTGAACGCCGGTATTCAGATTTCGAAAGGCTGCACACAAATCTTTTGAAGGAGTTCTGTGATGAAATGGAAGATGTCACCTTTCCAAAGAAGACTCTGACGGGAAATTTCACGGAGGAGATAATCATTGAGAGGAAACTAGCCTTCCAAGATTATTTGCGGCTTCTCTACTCCATGGAATGCACACGGACATCGAGAATGTTTATTGACTTTTTAACAAGACCAGAACTGGAGGAAGCTTATGGGTGTCTTCGCGGAGGACAATACAACAAAGCTTTGGAAGTCTTTCTGGAGACGGTAGCTCTGCAAGAAAAGCTCACCAAACATAGGCCCGTGCTCTTGGTTCCCACTCTCTGTGCCATCCTCGTGTGTTACAAAGATCTGGAAAATCTCAAAAGTGCCTATGAATTTGGAGAAAAGGCTTTGTCGCGTCTCAGTAAGCACCCTAGCCACCGGTATCACATCCCTCTGCTGGAAACCATGATCTCCTTAGCATATGGACTTGGCAAGGATTTTGTATCCTTCCAAGAGAAAATGGAAGAGGAGGAGGCCAAGAAATGTCAGAATAAAGCGGTGACGTTGAAAGAACTTGCCGTTCGAGAGTACTTACATTGAAGGAAAGAAGAACCACTGAGGTGGAACCATGGAGAAATTACTGGGTGGAGAAAGCACTGGAATGCCAACACAGTGCCCTTTGGATAGAAGTGTTAGGAGTCCTCCCTCTGGAAAAACCCCCAGTTTGTTGTGTATAAATTTAGGGACACCGGAAGTCGCTTCAATACTGAGTCAGACCACTGGTATATTTAAGCCTTGTACTGTTGCCGCTGACCGGCAGCAGTTCTCCAGGGTATATCAGGGCCTTGCCCGTGCTGGGAATAACTGCACATACAAATTAGGCCAGAGCAATGCAGGATTGGGCCCTCTCCTCATGCAATAGACCTTCAAAGGTTGGAGAATTGGATTCTGGTTCAGATGAGAGGGGCTCAGAATTGACAGCTGAATTACAGAGGGTACTCGTCCCAGCGTTAAAGCAGGCAGTTGCAGGGGATCGAACAGTTTTTGATGCTGTGGGAAAGTTTAGCGAGCAAGCTGAGAAGGGAGGGCACAGACCCAGCTTCATCCGTCTGATCATACGGGGTCAGGTTAAGAGCGGCGGGAGTGTGTGTGTGTGAGAAGTCTCAATGGTTCCTTAAGCGGCACCCACCTTGATGCTGGGCCAGCTTTTTCTTGTTTAGAAAGGAAAATATGTGTTCAGTTTGGAATCAACAGCAATACTCCTTTGTAGCTAGCCCAGCAGGTCCCTTGAGCATAAAAAAGGACTTTTAGCGAGAAAGCATTTGTCCTGATCTGCTTGGAAGGAAGGAGGGGGAGAAGAGCCGCCATGGCATGCAGATGGGTGAAATTTTTATTTGTTTGGTTGTTTTTATGAGAATTCACCAATATTTGCAAAACTCTTGGAAGAACTTTTAAACAAAGAATGTGGCAGAAAGTGAACATGACAGACTTGTTCATCCCTTTAAACAGGTCTCCAATTCCAGACATCTATGTAGATAATCAAAATACCTCCATATGCAATCAATGACAAAGAATGTGATTTTTTGAATAAACATTACCAAAATAATATTTATTAACAATGCTGCTCCCTCTCACCTAGAGGAGAAAATGGTATTTCCTTACTGATATGATGCTGAAATGTTCCTTTGCCAGTGGGGAATTTTTAGGGGCAGAAACTGAAATGCTTGAAGCAGAGCAGACTAAGGGTGAAAAACAGCCTTTGGCTTTGTATCTTTCTTATTTTCAGTGCCATCAGTCCAGGATTGCCATACTAATTAGGGTTAGTGAGATTGAAGTTCTTCCTCCTTTGATATGTCAGGGGTAAGAAATGTGCATAAGAAGGGAGAGAATAGCACAACCTATTCAAACCTCGAAACTCTAGCAAGTTAATTTAACGTCCACTCATGTGAGCCGCTCCACCTGCTAAAATTGATTAGAAATGTTCTCCGTGGCGTTCCTTCAACATCTATCTCAGTCGTGCTTGGCTGAGGCACTGGGGAAGGCTTTCGCTCTGACTTTGCGCAGGCTGTGGAATGCCTGATGGAGCACTGTTTGTCTTGTCACCCTCTCGGAAGTCTTCCAGCACGGCCCTCTTGCAATTGCCTTTTCATGTGGACAGGCATTTTGCCAACGAAGTTGTCTTTCTGCTTCCAAGAGTTTCTGAATTTCTGCATTCTTCAGTAAGCTTTTGTGGATTGATTTTTTTAACAAATATTTTTAGCTTGTAAGCTGTCTTGTGTGTTCTTTTTGAACTGGAGAAGTATGGTAAAAATGTCTGTAGTGAACACAAACATATGCTTCAAGAGTCTCTGTGAAATGAGAGAGGAAATCCAGAACCCAAGGGGAAGAAAGATCGGCACGTCCAGGCTCAATAGTTAAAGGATGATAGAGGAAACACATGTGCCACAGTGATGCAGATGAAGCAAGAATGCTAGCGTGCCTGGATTCACTCTAAGTTTCATGCTGCCACAAAATGCTTGACTGATCATCAGTCTGGCTCTTTCAAAGCTGAAAGACATTGTCCACACACAGCCGAGAGTCTTGCTTTGTTGATATTGGTGCAGTGGAGGCTTCAGCTTTCTGGGAAAGCCATCCACTCATTCATCTCCTGAAGGTCCAGAATGCCTCTTTTCTTCTTTTTCTTCTTCCTCTTTTTGGCCTTCTTCTTCTTCATTGTTTATTTCCTGGTGGGTCACCTTTCCTGTTGTCCCACATGCTTCCAATTGGTTGCTTGGAAAGATGTCATATCCTTTCCACTCCTCCGTGCAGCTCTGGATTTGCACATCACTCAGGTCTGCACTGTCTTCTAGACACAGTTCAGGTGAGCTGTTCACCAGGTCTCCATCATGCTTTGGACCATGCAGCATCACTGTGGCCTCAAGGTTGTCATTGCCCTGTACATCTGGAATGTCATTGGATAAGATGTCATGCACTATCACTGGCTCTAGACCATGCGTGTTCCACTTAGGTCCAGAAAACTCCAGCATCTTTTCCACCGAACTGTAGAGAAACCAAATTTTGCATCAAATTTAGACCTCACTTTAAACGGCATGCACCTTACTTTTCCTTCCTAGGTGGGCTGACTTTGATCTTTTCTTGGCCAACTTTCTCTTTACTAGAAGAAGAACTTTCAAAGCCCACCATGGCCTTGTCCTCTTTTCATTCTCTGCTCCCAAGAAACGGATACAATCCTGCCCATATCCTTTGTATCTCTAGTTCCAGCTATCAGAAGTTCGTCTGTTCCCACAAATGACTCCACCCTTGATGCCCTTCAGGCCTGGAACTAACCTTCCTTCAAGCTGCTCCTCAAAGCCTGCCATTTCCATGGAACCATTGACACAAACCCCAAGTTTCCATGTCTTCCTGCACCTAACTGCACTAATCCTAATCACATCTAATTGAAGCAGGGTTCCTGTCCCTGAAGGACATGGCTGGATTCAGTTCTGAAGATGTTACTGGCGAGAACTTGCCAGTGGAGAATGGGTGGGCGGAACTGATTGCCGGGAGGTTTAGGACAGAGAAAAGGAAGTACTTCTTTATACAACATAGTTAAACTACGGAATTTGCTACTACAGGAAGTGGTTGTGGCTGCCAATTTGGATGGCGTTACGGGGGGATTGGACAAATTCATGGAGGTGGAGGCTATCAGTGGCTACTAGCCTTGCTGGCTATGGGCTACCCCCTTCACCAGAGGAGGCGTGACTGCTCACACCAGTTGCTGAGGAGCTTGGGCAGGTGGAGGTCTTGCACTCAGCCTGCTTGGGGCGGTCCTGTGGGCCAGTGCTTTGTCACTGTGTGAATAGAGTGCTGGACTAGATGGTCTGATCAGCAGGGCTTTTCTTATAACTTCTTATGTTGTCCAGGAGAGAGCTGCAACACCTTAAGGGTAAAATCCTATGTAAGCTTAGGCAGAAGATAGTCAAGAGCGCATATCATCCCCCTGGCTTTTGTCTGCCTTAGCATGCACAGGATTGCACCCTAACTAAATTTTGCTATACATCTTGATTTTTCAAGGCTCAGTGTTCAACATCTCTCCAGGGCACGCTAAGCGCTGTAGGCCCTTTTTCTGTCCAACTTGCACAGGATTGTACCTGAGGCTGGCTAAGAGGCAGTGTGGGTTTCATATGCAAATAGCAGCCAACACTGTGTTTCAAAGAGAAAAAGAAATATTTACATATTAGAAACCAAGTGAAATAGAGGCGATGGGAGTGGGTGGTTGTCAAGACAACTCCAATTTTCTGAGAAATCAGCGCTCTCTTGTCTTCTACAGAAGGAGGACCTCTTGAAAAAGAGGAGTGCCATGGCTGTATTGGATCTGGGCAGCACATGTTTGAGAATCAATGGATTTCTCCTAATTTCTGATGGAGGGAATCCATTTCATTTAAGAATTCATTTGATTGTGATGGTGTCCTACCTGGTAAGTTACATTTTACCAGGTCTGGAGTATGCCAAATGTTCGATTATACCTCTGGTTTGGAAAGGATTTACTGCCACTTTTCTTCAGAAAACCTCTTTCTTCCCTCCAGCCCACTTCAGAGGGCTTCTGCTGAATTGTCTCTCTGGATCTCTGATTCATTAATCCTCCTCATGTCTCTGTATAGATATCCCATGTGACTTGGGCTCGCCCTACTGTACCTTTTCAGCAAGGCTTAGATTAGAAAGAATGGGTACCTTCTCCTTGTCTTGAGACAGCGGAGGCAGCAAAAGAACGTCTCCTGGAAACACACCCAGCACCTAGACAGCCTCAACATTGGCTCTGGGTGTTTGAGGTTGTGTCCGTAGCCTCTTGGGGAGGACAGCCGAGCCCCGAACGCCAGCCACTTGTAGAGCAATCTGGGCTGAGCACAGGCCCTCCTGGCCTCAGGCAGCCCAAGGCGTCTTGTGGCTCGGATGCAGCGTCCTGATTAGTCCGTGTCCCTGAGGCTCTGTAACTCCACGCCATGGTCATGCCTTCTCAGTCACAGCCTGGAGCCATTGTGACACCTCCCAGGCTCTGCTCTCTCTCCATCCTTTCAAATGATTTGCATACTGGCACCAAATGGGTGGCAGTGTGTAAGCAGAGTGCCCAGTCAGGGAAGCGGCTGAAGCGTCACCGTTGCCTAGAAATAAATGCCATGGAATGTTGTTTCCATCTGGGTGGACCAAGAGGGGCTGCATTGCTGCTGTTGTGTATGGAGGTGTCTTCTTAAAAATCACGAGCTCCTATAGGATGATTTCTGCTGACTTTCATGAGTCCTGCTGCCAGCAATGGTATTTGCTGTCTTCAGGTGGAAACTGGGCTGGAGGATGAAGGCTTTGGAAGGGACAGGAGCTTTGGGGAAAAGGCGGGATCTCATCCAAGGAACAGAGGGGCTGGCTGGACAGGCCAAATTGCCCTGTGAAGCCGTAGTTCCCTAGCCCTGTTTTGGTGTCTGCTTGGAAAAAATGGGGAGCTTGGGCCATCAATATGATCAGATCTTCTCCTTGGCTTCAGACAAGCTGAAGGTGATGAAATGACTGAATGCAAGGACTCCTCAGGCAGCTCAGCATCCCGTGGTGTCGTGTTCAAGCTCTCCTATTTTGGGCGTGTGCCAAACTCCCCATCACAACCTCTTGTTCTTCTGAATTTTGATCAGCCGTTTCTGAGTCAGGAACCGGTGGGGGGGGGCACCTTGCTCAGGCGGCCCAGCGCTAGAATGAGAGGAAGCTACTCCTTCAGGTGCCTCCCCATCAGCCTGCGGGGAGGTTATTCGCTCAGGGGCTAAGGGGTCAGGTGGTGGAGTGGTTTCTTGCCCAGCAGTCTGAGAGCCAGGCTGTATATGGGCCGTCTGGGCACTGGTCCTCAAATATCAGTCTCCTTGGTCCAAGGCCTGACTCTCTCGGTTAGCTCCCGTCTCGTCTTCACGAGTAGACGTCTATGTCGAGCCATCAGGCATGACAAGTGGCTTGTGTGGTACTGGCCGAGGCGGGGTGTTCTTGGAGAGCGGCTGATGTGGTTCTGTGGAGCATCAGAGGTGTCAGTGTCTCGTAGGTCTGGAGACCTGCCCCACATGCTGTGGCATTTGATGCAGCAGGTTGGCCAGACCCAGCAGAGCGGTCCCCGGGTCATCTCTGGACTCAGCCTGAGGAGCTCAGGGCACTGCATAGAGTCGGTAGAGGGGACAGCTCGCCAGAGGCAATGTGCTGCTGCTACAGGGAAATGGCCAGAAGGTCTCTTGGGAATGGCTGCCACCACTCCACAGCCTCGCTACGAAGGCCTCTGCGGGAGATGTCGGACTGCAGATGTATTGGCTTGCCTGGAAGGGCAGAGCACAGGCTCCTGGTCTGAGGGGGTGCCACCTGCCACCCTTCTGCATCCACCACTGGAAGTGTTCCAAAACACATGGAAGACGCCAGGTGAGGGAAGATTAGCCTTCTTCAAGTGTAGGGTTTAAGGCCTTGATCGGTATATTCTTGCCCACCCTCACAAACTTGTTATTGAATTAGTATTGACATGTTGGTGTAAATTTGGGGCACACTTGAGATGCCTGTAAGGCCCTGGACTTGGAGGCTTGCTGAAAAACAAAGGAGTCATCGTTACCATCTAGACCTCCCACCCTACCTTCTCGCTGAATTGACTTTTCTGCTTTTCTAGCTGGGGCATCTTGGAGCAGGAGGGGAGAAGCCAGGACGGTTCCAGGATACCATGCATCCTGGCCTCCCCAATCTCCTCCTTTCCCTGCACCCCAATACTTCTCCTCTCCAAGATCACTTCCCTAATCCTGGAGAGAAGCCAGCACAGTTCTTTCTCTACTGGAGGGAGGGCAATCCTGTCTGTTTTCCCGGTCTAAGGCTGAAGTGCTATGTCCAGCCACAGATCTGGAAATCCAAGCTATTTTATGCCCCCCACCCCTTGGATGTGCTTTAGGGCCTGTTTATTTAAAATATTTCTTAACCACCTTTCAGGGCAGCAGTCCTTCCAAACCAAAGGGCCTCAATGAAAGACACAATAAAAAACAATCCAGTATTTTAAAACAGTAAAAACTCAAACACACACACAACTTCATGTGATTTTATGGCCACTGAAATAGAAACATAGAAACAGAGTGAGTCAGAAGGGGCTTCCTGAGCCATCTAGTCTGACCCCCAGCTCCAGTCAGCTCTGCTCACAACATGCCCACCATGTGCATGTCCAGCCTTGAACACCCGCACCAATGGGGCCTCAACCACCTCTCGTGGAAGCCCATTCCACACCCTCGGGGTCCTGACTGTCAGGAAGTGCTTCCTGGCATCCAAACGGAACCTTGGCTCCCTGAGCTTTGCTCCGTTGGAGCGCGTCCTGCCTTCCTCTGCAGGGGAGAACAGGTCTCTCCCCACCTCCATGTGATACCCCCTCACATACCTGTGTGTCGCCAACAGATCCCCTCTGAGTCTCCTCTTCTCCAGGCTGAAGAGACCCAGTTCCCTCCGTCTCGCCTCATACGGCATCCCCTGCAAACCAGCCACCAACCTTGTGGCCCTGTGCTGCACTGACTCCAACCTGGCTATATCCTTTCTGTAATGAGGGGCCCAAAACTGAGCACAATACTCCAGTTGCGGGTGCACTACAGTCGTGTAGAGTGGTAGTAATACCTAGAAATGTTTTATACCAGTTGCTATTCTTTTTAGGTTTTAGTCCGCTCTATAATATTTTGTGTCAAGTGTATCCATATTTTGCAAAATTTTCTGATGGTGGTTTATAAACCTTTTAAGAAATAGAAGTGCATTAATTTATAGTTATGTTCAGATTTTGTAAATATTTTCAATGTTTTTCAATTCAACCGATTTTTAAAGATAGGAATTCATTCATTTACACAGATGCTCGTATTTTATAAGTATTTTCCATGATTTTTACAAACCTATATTTATATATATTATATAATTATAATTTTTATATTTATAATAACTCTCATATTTTGCACATATTTTAATGCATTTTATTCAACCCTCCCAGTACAAATATATTAAATTTCAATGTAAAACTATCCGTCTATTCGACAGGAGCTTGATGGAGACAAGAAAAATAACAGTGCAAACCACTCCGTTGATTGGTTATCCATAGGACTATTTTTCATGGCGCTTCCACCAATAGCGAAGAGGAGCCGGAAAGATTTTATCCAATTACAATCCACAATCCGCCTTTTCTCCGCCCTTCCTTTATAACAAATAGAAAGGTAAGTGGGCGGGAGCATGTTGGAGTCATCCAATCCACTCAGATTATCCCACGGCTGAGAGGACCCGCCTTCCTTTCCCAGCCACTGATCAGGCAGAAATCAGCCTAGCCAGCCAACGAGACGCCTGTATTCTAGGCTCTTTCTTTCTTTTTTTTTTAACCGCTGCTTCTCCAACCAAACTTGATGGAGGGGGCTGGATGCGGCGGAAATTCCCACTGGTACCGCGGCAGAGGAAAGACAGAGCGGCCGAAAAGGAGGGGCGGGCTTTCGCCGGAGAGAAGCCACTAGGGAAGACGAACGTTAACCTCCGCCTCGCCGCTACTGGCTGCGGCGCGGCAGGAGGCGGGGCGGAGCGCTGGCAAGTCGCAGCAGCGTAGGGCGTGCTCCCCGAAGCCGCTGTCCTGCGCTTCTGAGGGGATGCGAGGCGGCGGCGGCGGCGGTGGCGGGCGGGCTGCGCCCCTTCGAGGTCCGCCTGCGGCGTCGTGAGGGCGGGCGGCGCGGCAGGCCTCGGCCCGGAGCAGCAGGCGGCGGACGAGGATGGGGACGGCGCCCGGCGGCCGCGGCCGGGCTCGGCGCGGTGAGCGGCGGGACGGGGCTGCGCAGGCGGGCGCGGAGGGGGGATT